AAACTCAACAGATCTCAATAAATTTAAAACAAAAATTTTTTTTCTGTAAACTACCAGAAATATTTCCACAATTTACAAGCATAGCATTTTTCCTGATAGAAATAAATGGGAAAAACCGGGAAAAAACATGAAACAGTCGGGAGAACGGAAAAAAGCCACAATTTTAAACAAAAATGTGTTTTTTATATATTATTAAATTTAAAATATTATTAAACTGTTATTAAAGTTTAATGTTTAATGCGTATGTACTATTTTAGTATAAAATGACGTATTATAGAATTTTTACAAAGCAATACTATCAACTAAACTCCCACTTAGAATAGTTGTTTCGTGAGCAATATTTAATCGTTGCTTACAGGTATACATTAAATTGTCCTCTATGTCATACTTTCCTAATTTCTCATCTACAAAAGAGTCCTATCCGTCGAGTGAAATTGTCCGCTTTATTTTTTTTTATTCAAAATATATAATATTTGCTGATACCGTAACCCTGATAATCCACATTCCCTTTTCATTAAGAATAAGAAGTATCTGCCTGTACATATTATTAAGGTTATGATTTCATAATATATTATTCGTTTTTAATATAAAACATCTCCGAACTTACATAAAAAGAATTGTCGAATGGTTTTTTTTTTAAAAGTTACATTACCTCTCACTCCAGAGGTATTGGTAGATATTTTATTTATATACAAATTGAACTCAATTGTATGTTCTTTCGTTTGTCCACACCTTAAAATTGCATTGTGTATTATTACCTTCTACTCTCCCTGAAAAATGTTGGCAATACATTTATAGTATTACGAAATCATAAGATTTGTTTCGTTATGAAAATAACGATTGTATTGAATTGCATTATAATTACTTACAAACGATAGATTTGGAAAGAAGTTATTCTTCGTATTTTTCGATATGGCAAATAGTACTAGTATTAATATAATGACCGTTATTAAACACTTCATTTTGACTTTCGAATATTTTGGTGCGTCAACAAATTTACAAAAGATATTCGAAATATAAACTAAATAAATAATAATAGAGTTATTATCCTAGTTTTATATTGTCCTTAATTACATACTGTGTACAATAGGTCACATCGGATATTTTTGATTATTTCCTGGATCCAATCGCATTTGCTCATTATTATTTCGCGCTATCATAACGTAAGTATGATATTACTTTATTCATTTACATATTATACATAATATCGCGTCATTCTACGTTTCATACTAAAATACTATTAAAATAATAATGTTATGTATATATTATATTATGATGAATCTGACTAATATATAATTTATCAAGATACAATAATATTTACAAGAGAAATTTATGATTAAAAAAAAAAAAAAAAACACAATTATTATTACAAATCGCGTATTTAGGCTTTTTATTTGTCTTCTATCATTACAACTGAATGCGGTATAATGTGTACATTTTTTTGTGTAAAATGACATTATATATTGATTTAAAACCGAAAATTTTCCACAAAAAACCATTCATAATCATGACGATTCGATTAAAATCGTCTAATGGTTTTTTTATAGTAAGACGATCACTTATTTCAGAGTCGTATATAGATATTTTATTTAAATATAAATTTAATTCAATTGCATATTTTGTTTGCATTCGTTTTTATCACATTTTTCTTTTGATCCACATTTTATAATTGCCTGGATAAATATCTTATATTTTTTCTGGAATAATTTGAGCAATAAATTTCTTGGTTGATGAAATATTAAGATTTGTGTAGTTATGAAAATAATAATTGAGTTTATTTGCATAATATCACAGATGACTTATAAAATAATATAGGGTTGCTAACAAATATCGCTTTCACATATGGATAAAAAAGTTCGATATTGTTTGTAGGAATTGTAAAATTAATATTTTATAAAATTGTAACTTTATTTATGTTGAATCCTTAATGGAAAACAAAAATTGCATTGTAAATGATAAACAATTATGATAAGTGGAGCTCGGTTAAATATTACTTTTGTGATAAATTTAAATTAATTGAAAATTTGATTCATTTTTGTCAACAAAATAATATTTAAACTTTATGATTTTCACAAATTTTGTCACTTCAGACGTTTGATAACATATTAATTATATTAATTTTTTTTTTTTTTTTTTTTTAATAGATCTGCAGCATTTAAAAAACTACGTAAAGTCTCAAAAATATTTTTTCATTAATATTTGTTGTTTGTGAAAGTGACTGCATAAAAAATCTACCAGAATCCATTCGTAATATCGATGTATCGGTCGAAATAGTATTTACAGACCTAAAAAATAACCACGTCGTATTATATTAAACTAATATTAACATTTCTCTTTCAATTAATAATTTAAAGGAAAAAGGTTTTTTTTTTTTCTAAGAAAATACGTGATTGTGAATTGTCACAGTAAAATTTGTGGTGATTCTTCGAAAGATTTACATTTTAGAGAGAATTACACCAGAGTACTGATCGCAACGTTAGTGCAGAGGATAGACGAACACGCCGGAAATCGATGTACGTTTTGCGTTAGTCCGGTAGTTCCATACTTCATTATTTTTATTTTTTTCCCTCCCAACTTATTAATTTCGCTCTTTCTTCTATGACACCACGATGGACGAAAACGCGCTCGGCGCGTCCCACCGGCCCTACCGTTAAGAAGGGTTCTTCAGACGAGCAGCCTTCGATAATTTACCAACCGTCCGTTCCAATTATCGGATGAGAAATTTAATTAAATTTGACACTTTCGACATATCACATCATGGTGTACCTGGCATTGGTCCAACTATATTTTTGTCGTCCTATTTTAATACTGGAGTACCTTTTTTTTTCCCCCTCTCAAGAATATTGGACCGTTGCTGCAGTTTTCTGCAGTATAATAAAATCATCAAAAGAAAAATAATAATAACAAAACAAAACTAAACGGAACTATATTTATGGCTATAATATTGACTGAAATTAAATTTCGAATTAAATGCTGCTATTTATGACCTGTAAAAATGTTAAATACACGAAATACCACTAAATTTAATGTGTATATAAAAAGCATAAACAACTGTATCTTGGTATATACCATCAATTTTGTTCCAATTTACAATGATGTTATTTTTTCCGAAAGAAAATATGACTCCGAAGGTCCTTTAAGGAAATCATTTTTCAAAGTTCTCGTGAGTTTCTCAATAAAATTAAAAAAGCAAAAAAACCGGAGAAAAACAAAAGAGGAGGATATGAGGGAGAGAAATAGAGCCAGTTTTTGTGCACCGGTTATTTTAACGGAGAAACCCTACTAATTGGTATTTTTGTAAGATTGTAATAATTGTTATGAATTAACTTTGTTCAAATAACGAAAGGTAATCGTTAATTCAAATTTTTTTTAATGTGTATTCTCGTATTTACACGAAAAAATTACACTACTTCCGGTTATAATGAGAGTTGATGGTCGATAGATCTATATACATATCCGGAAACAATTATTGTTTGTTATTGTATATACATTCAAATTTCATACTTACGTTATGATAGCGTGAAATAATATAAATCTACAAAAATGAATCCAGGAAATAATAACAAATTTCTGATGAACCTATTGTACACAGGATGTAACTAAAACTAGTATAAAGCTATGACAATAACTATATTGTTCACTTAGTCCATAAAAAGTCAGTATCTAATCCACGTTAAAATATTTATTCTCTTATGATAAAAAAACTAAAAAATTTAATGAAAAACATAAATATTCGAAAGTCATTATGAAGTGTTTAACAATGTTCATGATATTAATACTTGTACCTTCTGTGATATTGAAAAATACTATAAACAACTACTTTCCAAATCTTCCACTTGTAAGTTATCGACGAATACTGATCTTAATGCAACGAAAGACAATTGTTATCTTCCTAACTAAATAAATATTAAGGTTTCGTAACGCGATGAATTTATTGCTCAAATTATTTCAGGGAGAATACAAGGTCTATATCAAATCATTTTTAAGGTGTCGTCCAACGAACGAACATGTTATTGAGATCAACTTGTATTTAAATAAAATATCTCATAATACCTCTGAAATGAGAGGTAATATAACTTCCAAGAAAACATTCGACGATTCATTTATTGTAAGTTCGTGTATATTTTATATTAAAAAACAAAACACATAATAAGATTTTCTATGCTTCATGGTAAGTAAAAGTTAAAATATTGTAAACAATGTAAATGTTAATACCGCGGCATATCGTAAATATTTACCATATTACCTATGATTTTATTTAGGTTTTTCCCGATTATTTCAAACGACATTCCTAAAATAGATCTCTCTAATTCATCAATGAAAGAAAATAACCTTTAAGGAAAAGTGCTATTGTCCATACTTCGGAGAAAGTTCGCTGATAAAAAATGTGTTCATAGGTGAAAAAAAAATATATCATTGAATCACCAACACATTCCTCGATTCACTCGGAATCTAACACTAAATTTTAAAATTAAAAATTCGTGAATATCGTATATTTTTACATTCTTTCGTAATGTGCATAATCATTAAAAATAAAGAAATTTTAAATGAAAAATTATATTTTCATTAGTGTTTTCACTATAGCGGGTAATTTGGATTTATCAAACTGCATTACATAAAAACTAACACCGTTTTTGGATACTCAAAATATGGTGCTGATAAATTCTATACTACATCTTAGTAACTTAAAATAGAATTAATGATTTATGATACCTTCAAGCGAGAAACAATTTAATGTAAATTTTTTACCGGTTCAACAGGTTCACTTAAATATCGCTGTGAAAGATTCAATAGGTGGCTGGAAAGACAATTTCTATTCTTTTCGTATAACTAAACCATGTACAAATGGGAAACCTTTTATTGATGGTCCGGCGTCGCAAATGATCCAAAAACAATTTGATTATTATGCATATTGTCCATTTCCTCCCGTAAACATAGTTTTACAATGTATGCATACCTATCAACCTACTTTAATATTAATAAAATATATTTATATATAGGGTGTATACGTCTTAAAAGGTTTGGATATCACGAGTTTTATACCAAAGTTGAATATACCGAAAAAATTTTTTTATGGGACTTACAAAAGTCGATTTGAAATATTCGAAAGTAATGGCAAACAAGCCTCCTGTTTGTTAGTGGTGTTTGATGTTAAACGGCCATGGGAACCTGCAGAGTAAATTTGTCATTTTTTTAATAGAGTATAATTTTAAAAAAAAATTGATGTTCTTAAACTACATTCTATATTATATTATTTCATTATATTTTGTTGGATTTTAAATTAAACTGCTGGCGCCTTAAATAAGTACGATTAATTATAAATACAGGAGTTTTAGCTTAAAATAATAAAATTGAACTTTTAAATTATTTGAAGCTTTAAATAATGGTACTTTTATATAACAACTGTAAATCCTATACTGAGTTAAACCCAAAGTTACTTAATGTTTACAATAGCTTACATTTTACATTTTTGATTATTTTCTGAGTTCAAATGTTTTGGCTTATTATTAGTTTTACCTATGTGTTTCATAGAAATCCTTTCATGGTAACCAAAATAATAATTGTATCTACAATATTATGACGAATATGAACAATAATAGTTTTATCAAAATACAATAATAGGTAGAAGGCTTCTTGGTAATGTCTAACCAAAATAAAACTACGTTTACAACCAGTCAATAATAAATAAATAACTTAAATGATAACTTAATCCACAATCCCTTATTCGGACCATTTATGCCATCTTTATACATTTCTTACTATATAATCGTACCATTTGTGATATTGAAAAAATATTACACACGACTTCTGGCCAAATTGTCCACATATAAGCTAGCAATAATTACTAATCACAATACAATTAATTTCAATTCCTATCTTTTATTTTTACACATCTATCGAACAACTAGTGACAAAATGAAAAATTATTTTAAATTACATTTTCTTAAACTATTAAAAGACTTTTAAATTTTTGATTTAAATGTTGTCCTTTGACCCTTAAAAAATTAATTATATTTTAATGTTTAACTTTAATATAACATATTTCAGAATTAATCAACTTCGTATTGATTACGGCTATCTAAAATTTTGTAAGATTTATTCGTTCAGGTATTTTCACCGAATAAGTGGTAGATGATGAAAGTTGATACTTCCAGAGGCACGTCCTCTATAACAATGCTATTTAAATACAATGCGGTACAAAATTACTGGTACAGCAATTTTATCATATTATAAACATTAAAAATAGAGAAAAATGTGTAATACGAAAGGAGCCTTTAAATGTTTTAATCCAGGCTTGTCCGCAACGACTCTGTACAATATGAATACGCCGCACGCCGAACGCTATTCACGATGATTTATACATTTTATTCCGTTATAATGTCGGCGAAATTCAAATTGATCAGAGGTGCCGAACCTTTTTTTGACTAACCGCACCCTAAGTCATTTTCTGAAAATCCCACGATACCGTGTAGTATTGTAGTAGTATATCGTGTATTTATATTTTTTAACTTCGGTTTTCTTAGTGAGACGTAACCAAACATATTATGCACACACATGATCTAGAAAATTGATAAAGGATTTGGCTAGTAAAGTTCACTTTTCATATGTTTTAAAAGTTAATTTTTGATATAAGTTATAATTTCTATTTTTTAAGTACCTACAAATGTGAAGGGCCTCAGTTCCCCTAGTCCTCTTTGCTATCCAATCCTATACACGAATAATATTTTTATATTCTTTTGTAAACTATAAATATATTTAAATTTTACAGCTCAAGTTGTTGGATTAATATTATTTAGAGAAATAAAAAAAAAAGCTAAGACAAAGCTACAGGTATATACGGTTTTATCGTAAATGAGTAAACCACTACGTTATCATTTTATAATAGTGTGAAAACTAAAAAATATTCAATATAATTTTTGTTATTACACATGAATTAAACTAGCGGTTCCCGACCTTTTTTTTTTTTTAAACAAGGCCTACGAGTGTGCTCTTCGCGTAATTTACACGATCGCGGCACCCCCCGCAGTAGATATTTGAATTTGACGGCCGTCGATTTGACACTCGTCTCTATTATAACATTTTTTGCGGATTAAAATACAATTTGCAACGGTACGGTCATTAGGTTTCACTAGTTTCACGCGGGCCTTAGTCCCTTACTGTGCAAAATTGTCTATATCGCGCGTGTTTGATTATTTCCTATAGGCGCGTTATCTCCGTATCGCGTACTGCGCTGTACACTCCTATTATACACAACGTTACGTATTGTAGTACGTGGTGTATAACATCGTGCGTTTAATATTGTCATTACACGTTTGCATGAATCTATATTAGTACAGAGTACAATGATAATGCCATCTGTATTATTGTTAGAGATCCGACCAATACTGTACGGGTGTAATACTGTCGGAATACAATAATATATTATGAACGAAATTGGCGTGCGGGTAATTGATAAAGAAAAAAAATTAATACATTTCGGAAGCACAGCACAACACTATCATTATCAGGTTCGCCCTGCACGATATTTTTCCTGTTTCGTGCGATTCCGTTTTTATATTTTCGCGCGAGACTTCATCGGTTTCGACCGAATACCGTTTCCGGACATCCGTTTTACTGATTTATATTGTCTATAATATTATAGAACATGGTTACAGTAAGAAGAAACCTTCAGAAATATCGTTCTGGCCAAATAATAACACGTTTCGTATCGTTTGTGAAAAATATTGTCCGTTGAAATCATTCCCCACCTATACGAATAACACTGTCCAATATTATTTCCCCGGTGTATAATTGTCCGATAAACATTGCCCCCCACTCCTTCCTTATAGTTTCGCGTGATTACGTTTTACGCCCTTAAACAAAAAACTGTACGTTTTCGTTTCGGAAATTATTATTATTAACGGTGACTACAATACTATCGGTGATTGTCCGCAGTCGAATGAACTAATACTATTTAATTGAGTTCAAACACGTACCATCACGTTCAATAAAACATACGTTTTCCGGTCAAAACTTAACCAGATGGCCGTCCGTTAAAATAAAATACGCCGAAACGAAAACGTACTCGTACAACACGGCAAAAAATTATTCATAGATACACGCCGCTATTTTCTCGCGCGGCCGTTTACCCAACGTTATGATCAAAGCCGGGCAAGTTTCTCAACTTAATCAAAAGTAACTTAAATTACAGTTATTTAATAAGGTAACTTAGTTAAGCAACAAGTTCCTAAATAAAGAAGTAACTCTTCAAGTTACTGTTGTTACTCATCAAAATTTCACAAGTAAGGAAGAGTTACTTTTAAATTTTTTAAATTTTCTTTTGATTATTTTTAGATAAAGTAGCCTTCATGAATTGATGTTAGAAACGGATTTTCCATATTATCATAAAGTTATTAAAATTGTATCGCATTGTATTTTAGATTTTGAGTGGAATGAAGAAGCTTATGGTTTTACAAAGATGTTTATTTAATTTTCTATGGACAATTTTTCTACCAGAAATCTTATTCCGATTTGTAAATATCAGAATTTTTCTGAAATTAAATCGAACTGAAGATATACTTTAAGGAGGTCAATTTTCGATTTTCCAAGAAGTTTTCCCACCAATTGAGAAAACCAGAAAAACGAATGAAAACCCGAGAAAAACTCAGGAAAAACGAGAAACGAAATACAATATTAAACAAATATTGTCCAAGAAAATGTATAGTTATTTTCCCATAATATGGTATATATATATATTGCTGACAAAGCAACGCTATCAAATGAACTCCGCTCAGAATCGATTTTTCGTTTGCAATGGTTTATCATTGCTTACGGGTGTGTATAAAATTTCCTCTTTACCACCCCCCCTCACAACTTCTCACCTACACCTACAATCGTAATGAACCCACGGGCGAAATTGGCCGGCCGGAAAAATAAATTCCGAATTCGCAAGACATCGGCGACAACCGTGACTGTGACAGGATTCAAATGAAAAGTAACTCGTTGAGTTACTCTCAAACACGCACGAAACGTAACCCGTTTAGCATTATGGGTAACAAGAAAACCAACAGAAACAGTAACGTGTTGCGAAGTTGCGGAGTACCTTTCGGCAACCGCCTATGGCTTTTGTTTCGACACGACCGCCGGGAGCGATTTCGATCGTAAAGCCGGCCCGCCGACCGCGTGGACCGACATCGAAATCGTTAGGAAATTTCGCTATCGACGGGGCGACGAGCGACGGCGCGGCGCACACGCGGCGATCGGAAATAAGTGGCGAGTGTAATATAATGCAAATCGCTTTTTTCGCGGAGTCGGGCCCGCCGTTGTTGTTTCTGTTTTAAATTAAACGACCGCGGGCGTACGCCGAGCAAGTCACACAATATTGTTGCGCGGACAGCGTTTTCGGGGAGTTCCGCGCGCGAATTAATCGAGTTTTGATTATCGCCGGTTTCCGCGATTCGTTTTGAATATATTTTATCGGATTTCCGTTGGACAAATATTTGCGTAAGAATGTTTTCCTCGGCGCACTGCCGCCGCCGCCGCCGCCGCCGCCGCCGCCCGGTACACGTTATATAGGACTACCGTTTCCGCAGTGCTCCCGAAATACTTTTACATCGATTGCCGAGTGAAAAGTTTTTCGGAATCTTATTAATTCGACTACCGCTACCGCCGCTACTGTGCAACCGCCACTGCTACGCTGCCGCGCCCATTGAGCGCCGTCCGCCGCCGACGCTCGCCCGTAGCGCGGAGACGACAAAAGTTTAAATTATCCGCCGGGTTTTTGCCTACGAACGAAATGTTTAAATCGGTTGTCCCGGACAAACGTACGGACGAAGAGAATTTCCCGGGGAAAAAAAAAAAAAATAAATAAATAAAAAAAGGACGCTACAATAACTTCTAATATTACCTAACGCAATATTATTGTGGTTTATTTTTCGACGGGTTATCTATTTTTTTTTTTCGTTTTTTTTTTACATAAGGTAAATAACCGTTAAAACGAAATGTACTGTTTTCGAGAGAGAAAAATGCTGATTAAAAAGAATTCTACTTGAAACAATTTCGCGTCCTTAATAAATTACATTTTTTTTTTTTTGGTTTTTATTACAACGTTCGTCCAAATTAAGGTTTGTTATACTAAAAAATGAGGGAGAACGAAAGGCAGTTTCATTACTTTTAGATACGTTGTATAACAGTGAAATAG